AGTTGGCAGGGACCCCCGGCAGAAGAGTAGTCTGCGGGACCTCACACGGCGACAGGACATGGGGTGGCAGGACCCCCGGCAGAAGCGCAGGTCTGCGGGGACCTCCAACGACACGTTGAGTGGGTTGGTTCGCAACGGAACACGGGGAGCTGGGCGTCGGGACGGACAGCAATCAGGACAACGGGGATGCTGGCGTCGGACGGACAGCCACCGGAGACGAGGTGCTGGAGTCCGGCCGGTTGCGGCCAGGAACGAGGCTTGGGACGTACCGGACGGGGACAGCCCATCAGTGCACGGGAGCTGGCGTCGGACGGACAGCCAACCGGAGACGAGGTGCTGGAGTCGGCCGGTATGCCGACAGAACATGGGGAGCTGGGGTCGGACGGACAGCCCACAGGAGACGAGGTGCTGGAGTCGGCCGGTACGCCGACAGGACTCGAGGAGCTGGCGTCGGCCGATGAGTCAGCAGGTGACGAGGAGCCGGAGTCGGGACCATGGTACTGGAGCCGGCACTGAAGCCGGGACCATGGACTGTAAGGTCCCGGTTCTGGAGCCGGAAACATGGCTGTAAGTCGGTTCTGGAGCTGGAAACATGGCTGTGTGGGTCGGTTCTGGAGCCGGAAACATGGCTGTGTGGGCCGGCTCTGGAGCCGGAAACATGGCTGTGTGGGCCGGCTCTGGAGCCGGAAACATGGCTGTGTGGGCCGGCACTGGAGCCGGCAACATGGCTGTGTGGGCCGGCACTGGAGCCGGCAACATGGCTGTAAGGTCCGGTTCTGGACCCGGAAACATGGCTGCTGGGTGCGGAGCGGAAGCCTGGACCCTGGCTGTGTAAGCCAGGTAATGGAGTATGGAAGCATGGATGCGTGGGCCGGTACTGGTGCACGGATCCATGGCCTTGTGGGCCGGTTCTGGAGCAGGGACCAAGGCTGCTGGGCAAGGAACCGGAACACGGGTCCATGGCTGTGTGGGATGTTACTGGAGCACGGTACCATTGCTATGTGGGATGGTACTGGAGCACGGAACCATGGCTGCTGGGTCCGGCGCTGGAGCCGGAACCATGGCTGTTGGGCGCGGAACCCTGGCCTTGCGTCTCTTAGGAGTTTTNGGAAGCCTGGACCCTGGCTGTGTAAGCCAGGTAATGGAGTATGGAAGCAAAGCTGCGTGGGCCGGTACTGGAGCACGGAGCCACGGCTGCTGGGTCTGGCGCTGGAGCCGGAACCATGGCTGCTGGGCGCGGAACCCTGGCCTTGCGTCTCTTAGGAGTTTTTTGGAGGCTTCGTGGACCCCCAAACTCCAGACCAGACCCCAAGAAAGGGTCAGAAAATGAGGACTGGCTCTCAGGGCTACATGAAAAAATCCTAAACCACTCGGACAACAAGCTCCAGAGCCAGGGCTTGCGAGCAACCTCCTGACGTGCCTCCTTCAACGCAGCCTCTCTACCCCGTCTAGATGAGGCGCCTTTCCACGTATAAAAAATATACTCCAGAGAATATCCAAGACGTTCCGCCTGTAGCTTCAAAAGGTCTGCTGGGTCCATTTTAAGGTCGGTTCGTACTGTCACGGTTTGTGAAACAAGCAGGACCCAAATGCAGATATAAACTGAAAATTCCTTTATTTCAAGGCTATGATATATATATATATATATATACATTGACAAAACAGAACACTCACCGCAGAACTAGTCAGGGAACAAGACGAACCGACCAAGACAGACAGAAAACCCAGAACTTAAATACACACAAGACTACTCACACAACAAGACACAGGTGAGGAGGGAGGAGAAAACACAGGGGCCCAGGTGAACATAATCAGACAATTAGACACACCAGGGAAACTAATGACAAGACAATAACCCAAAGGAAAACATGACATGGAAAACCGCAAAAACACCCAAACCTACAAAACTATAAACGTGACATAACATGAGAATCGTGACACTTATGCACCTAAGGGTTAAAACACCACTTTAAGTTTTCATTAAGTAAACTTAACCTGAGAACCACCTAAGGTCACTTTTCAGATGTGCTATTTGCAGCCCTAGTGAATTTCGTATAGCTAATTTATTTATTTGTTAAAACATGCGAAGGCAATTGCTTTATTTTTCCCACAATGCAGCTTCAGTGAGCTCTGATGTAACGCAGTTAACATCAACGCTACTATTAGTATTTGAAAAGCTGAGACAACCCCTGCGTGGTCAATTAGTTGACCAATCGCTGGTTTGGTTTTACTTCGCTAAGATTTCTTGAGTTCATCTGCCATTTTTGTAATGCTTTTTTCAAGATGAATGACTTATTTCAAAAATGTTCATGAGCAAATATCTGGTGAACAGAAGATTTAAGTATCTGTGGAAACTCAGTTTTACAGATCTGTCCTCTTTCTACCATTCAATAAATCAACAAAATCCTATTCAAATAATGAACGTTTACCACAAAGATATTTAGTGGAGTCCAGCCTTAACAGGTTGCCTGTCACTAGCATTAGCCATTTAGAAGACCCATTTTTTGGATGGTGAGCTTCTATTGTGACAAACAAAAAAAGTCATCATTATGTGTCATTGTCAGAGACTCAGAAACACCTGCACAGACTTTTTTGGAACACAATGTATATTTAGAATATATTTGTTGGCATTTAGACTCAATTTTGAGCAGTTTAAAAAGAAACATTTGTTCATTTTCTAACTATTTCATAATAATAATGTCTTGAAGGAGGTATATTGAAGGGCTAAGTTCTGGCTGATCGGCAGATGGTGTTACTATGGATGATATCAGGTGAATATGCAGTATGCCTACAGTCACTCCTCTGTGCTGCCACTCTGTGTCATCACACCTCCGAACCTCCGCTATAACCCGGGAAACCCCGGCGGAGAGAAACAGCTGACTCACACGATGCCTCCCATCACGGGCCTCTAATTAAAAGAGTGATAACACGGAGCGTTTGTTGAATGCAGTAATCCAAAGACTCTCACAGCTACACAAACACTTGCCTTTTTTAGCCCCGGGGATTTAACCCTGACCCCGACTGTGATAGCATCAAAGATAAAGCCATTGAAGTACATACATAAGACATTAATAATTCACATGGAGCTGCATTGTTTTTCCTTTTGAAGTGTTGCTGAACTAAAGGACAAACCCACTGAAAGCATTCAGAGTATGTGTCCTGTGTGTCCCCAGTTTCTGAAGGGAAGGAGACAGAGCACTGTAGCTCTGCTATGCCGTCAGGTGGATGTTGGACATCAATACAATTCTCTATGCCAATGTCTGGGCTCTTTTGGCCTGGGAATAATATTTCACACCTAGATAGATTCAAGTGGCATGGAGGAAACATTGCAGAAATCCATAACATTGAATTACAGCTCCACAGAAATATATATTTTTATTTTTAGAGCTTTTGTTGATGCTCATCTTCAACTCATTGTAAGGATGTTTCTCACATGATACCCCACAGAAACAAAGCCTGGCATTCATTCAGTATTGTTGCATATAGGCTTTCATTGGAATTGTGTCATGTTTTAGAAAAAGGCTTTTCTAAATTACTTCTTCCAAGCTTATGTTGAAAAAACCCAAAACAATGTGTTTTTTTATAGCCAATAAGTTTGATCTGAGAGTCTAAAATATCACACAATGGAACACATTAAACTTACTTTAAAGGTTATTATTGGTCTCAATAATATAAAAAATTAAATCCAAATTCAAATGGTTTAGAATATTATAGTTAATCAGTTCAGGTGTACTTTACTTTTATTTTAGGATTTTTCTTTAAAACTGCTAAAAGTGTGTTCTTTTCCTGATGTTTAAGCTGCATAAGAATAAAGTGATGCAATGTTCTGAATTTCCAGACTGCTTTATCATTTGATTATGTTGATTTACCTTCTTCATCTTTACATCCACATTACTGATGATTATTTAAAACCGATTTACTGAGAGGCAAAACAAGTTACTACAGTGGACTAGTGATAAGCCCCCATCAGTTAAAGTAAGGTACTTTGGAATATCTAACAAATATCGAAAATGCCTGAAAATCTGAGCTATTTTTCTATGTAGAAGAAGGTATTATGGCATTACTGGGTTTCTGAAAATGAGGCAAAAAGTCAATAGATATATAGTTTTTATAAAATAATTGTGTAAATATTTTGTGGAAGAATCGATAGTCAACCTTACAATATTGTCAGAATATCAATATCCATAGATTTGGTGATTTTCCTCACATCGCCTGGCCATAGCTTACAGTATCTACCTCTAGTTTGAGGAAACACATTGTCAGCAATTCAGCTCTTAGGTCACTTTTTAAGGGGTGGGGGGGGGGGGG